CCCTGGGGGTGCTTTGAGTAGCAGCAGGGGAATACATAAACGCCTGAGGAAGAGGCGCACTACAGAGGGTTCTAAGGCTGTAAGAACCTCTCTTGCTACAAGCCGCCCACCTTTGCCGGCAGCAGGCCCATGAGACCAGGAGGCCTGCCTTGGGGGTCAATGAGGCGCCAGTACTCACACCCCTGCACTGCCGCCTGCAGAATGCCCTGGGGATTACACGGTAGGGGAATCAGGGGACGGACAAGGGAATGGGGAGGAGCCATCATGAGGATTAATGAGGCGCCAGTACTCGCAGCCCTGCACTACCACCTGCAGAATGCCCTGGGGGTTATAAGACGAGTGAATTAAAACACATTGGAGAAAGATGAGGCACCAGGGGGGGTGTACAGAAAACGAGGTTATAAAGAAACATGAGACATCGAGGGGGAGAACGCAAAGCAGAATGGATAAGACGCCGGGAATATGTTGTTCTGATTTTATTTATTGATTTTCTTCACATAGAAAAACATGTATTTGAGAATGAAGTGTAAAACAATTGTGTAATTTGGGAATGGTGCTCCAGGAAGTTGAAGCAAGTGAGCAATGGCGCTATAGGATACATAATGCAGAAATAAAGCGGAGTGTACCTTTGTAGTGTAGTCGATCATGAGAGGTGTTCCTTGTGCTGCTTTCACCCAATCAGAGAGCTGCGCTCGATGGGCATCTAGTGGGAAAGAGAGAGCGAAGGGAAGAAAATGCAGGAGAGAGAGAGAAGAGGGGGGGAGTAAGCGAGAGAAGGAAGCTGTGACAAAGAAGGAGGAAAAAACACAGCAAAGTGTTAGGGATGGCTGTGAACTTAATAACAGAAACATGAACAGGAAACACACACCAAAAAAAAAAAAAAAAAAAAAAAAAAACGTTTGCCTCACCTTGGTTGTACTCCAGATATCCCCCCTGATATCGCATTTCTGTCCACACATCAGCGATGGCAAACGTGGGGCTAGTATCCCAGCAGTACCTGCACCGAGTGCCTATGGGCGGGTGGATTGGTAGGGACACAGGCAGCCATGAGGCTAAATGACCACGAAAGGATGGGGAAGGCCAATGCCGACTCGTGTCTCAGCAGTACCTGCATCGATTGATAAGAGTTCCTGTGGTCGGGTCAATGAGGCGAAACAACACAGCGTGTTTCACTGATAACGATTGAATGGTGCTCACAAACAAAGGCAGTCACTTAGGCAAGACAAGAATCCAAAAGCGATGGGATGGGAGGCAGACACAAGAAGCAGCACAGCATTGGGCCGTGATGCAGAGGGGGAGGATTTTTGAGGCGCCTCAAAAGCAGAGGGGGAGGTCAGAGTGTTACGAGTCTATTTTGTCGACTAAAAATTTGGGCCTGAGCATGGCCATGAAAAGCACCATGGCATGGCATGGCATGGCATGGCAATGAGGGAAACCTTGGGAACATTCTGAAATCTGGTTTGGGGCAATTCTGCTACTGCCGGATCTGCTATGAAAACTGGTTTTGGGCAATTCTGCTACTACCGGATCTGCTATGAAAACTGGTTTGGGGCAATTCTGCTACTGCCGGATCTGCTATGAAAACTGGTTTGGGGCAATCCTGCTACTGCCGGATCTGCTTTGAAATCTGGTTTGGGGAAACCCAAGGATCTGCTATGAGCGGAGTGAGTGACTCACGAGTGGGCTACTGCCGGATCGAAGGCGCGGGCAAGGTCAAAACACCACGCCTGCAGGGGACAGAGCAGCAGCGCACGCACGCAGGGTTAGAATGGTGAACAGCGCAAATGGAAATGCACGCGCATACCAGCCATCTATTGCGCCCCGGGCTCTAGCGAATGCATTATGGTCTCGAATGCCAACGAGCGTAGAAAAAACACGAGAAAACGGGAAAGGTCTTACTAAGTTTCCTGCCTATTTTATCTCATCTCACATCGAATCCAACATCGAATCGCAGCCACCTCAGCCACCCCTTGCAGTCCTCCTCGACAGCAGGGTTCCCATGGTCCATGGTGCTCGCTCCTCCCCCTGATGCCTGCCCCTCAATGCCCACCTGCTCGCCCTGCCGCCACACCGCCGGCTGCATGGAGGGGAGCAGAGGGTCAGATGGAAGGGCAGAGGAGTCGACGATTTTTGAGGCGCCTAAAAAATAGACTGCTCGCCGTGCCGCCACACCGCAGGCTGCATTGAGGGGAACAGAGGGTCAGATGGAAGGGGTAGAGGAGGAAGGCTCTTCAACCAAATCGCAGCCACTCCTTTGCAGAGCCGTGGTCCTCCTCCTTTGCAGAGGAAGGAATTGCAGTCGCCCTCCACTGCAGGGTCGCCGTGGTCCATGCTGCTCGCTCTCCCCCCCACCCCTCCCCTTGCCTGCACCTCAACGCCCACCTGCTCTCCTTGTTGCCACAATCCAGGCTGCTCGGGGGGGAAAAAGGGAGTTGGGTAGAAGGAGAGTAGGAGCGGGCAACGTTGGAAGCCACTCCTTGCAGCCCTCCTCCACTGCCGGGTTGCCATGGTCCATGCTGCTCGCTCCTCTTCTTACCGATGCCTGCACCTCAACGCCCACCTGCCCTCCCTCCCCAGCTCCTGCGCTGTAGGCTGGTTGGGGGGGACAGAGCGGGTTGGGTGGACGGGGAGGAGGAGGAGGGCAGGGCAACGCTGAGCGTCACGTCGCCCCAGTTGCATTCTCCTCAGCAGCGGGGTTGCCATGGTCCCTCCCACAAGAAGGGGTTTCGGGTTTTGGAGGGGGGGCGAGTTTCGCGCACGGTGTTCAGTGTCTCTCCTTCGGAGCTCACCTCGCCCACAGTGTTGGTGGTCCGCCTCCACTCCGACAGCCCTGGCTCCCCGGGTCCCACCCACCCACTCCCCCTGGTCCTTGGCAGCAGTACCATTCAACGACCAATGCTCTGTCCCTACAATTAGCTGTCCTCACAGTGAAACTCACCTCGCCCACAGTGTTGGTGGTCCGCCTCCACTCCGACAGCCCTGGCTCCCCGGGACCCACGCCCCCTGGCGCCCCGCCTCCCTCTCCCGTCTCCTGCCCCTGATGATCCTGGTGGTGCTGCTGCTGCCCGTGCTGCTGCTGCTGGCGTTGATGCTGCTGCTGCTCCGATCCGCTCCCCTCCATCCACGCGCCCAGCCGGTTGACGACGACGTGCAGGCACGCGCCGAGCCCCGCCGCATGCAGCTGCGACAGCAGCTTTCGCAGGCTAGCTTCTGACCCGTACGCGCTATTGAGGTCGTAGAAGTCCACGGGAGCGAATCCTGCAGTGGGGGAGTTGCGGAATACGATTGATGGTTCGGTTGAGTTGGGTGCTGGCCAATGTAGCGGTTGACGGGATTGGTCAGTATAATTGTAAAGTTTCATTCTCACACCCACAATCATTGCAAAATCAGATTCATCTTATCATCCTGAGCTGACAAGGCAGCAGGCTATGTCTGACATGAACATTCACCTGAGATGTAGAGCCACCTGACATGCAGATTCACCTGACACGCAGACTCACCATACATGCGGAATCACCTGACACGTAAATGCACCTGACACGTAGATTCACCTGACACGAAGATCCTCCTGACACGAAGATCCACCTGAACATTCACCTGGTCCATCGGCGGCCTTGCAGCAGGGCGGAAAGATCAGGTCCGAAAACCCCATCGCCTTAAAGTCCCCCACTCGCTCCGCCAGCACGTCGTATCCCCCCGCCACAAGAGGAGTCATTTTTTAGCATTCTCAAAAGGGGTCATTTTTTAGAATTCTAAAAAATGCAGAATCACCTGACACGTAAATGCACCTGACACGTAGATTCACCTGACATGAAGATTCACCCAACCTGAACAGTCACCTGGTCCATCGGCAGCCTTGCAGCAGGGCGGGAATATCAGGTCCGAGAACCCCATGGCCTTGAAGTCCCCCACTCGTTCCGCCAGCACGTCGTACCACCGTCCGCCGATCCCCCCGCCTCCGCCGCCGCTTCCCCCCGCCTCGTGCGACGACCAGGAGAAGGCGTGCAGCAGGCAGCGCGAGGGGACGTCCGGCAGGGGCCCGTCGTCCTCGTCGGAATCGAAGGAGAAGTCCCAAAGCAGCCCCGGATCGGTTAGCTCGTTTTGCTCGTTTTGTTCGATTCGTTTGGCGGAGTTGTGTTCCGAGCTCGCGCTTGCTGCTAGCGAGACGTGCTGTAACGCGAATGCCGAAACGCACCGCCGTGCGTGACTGGGGATATCTCGTCTGCTCGTAGAGTCGCGACCCGGTTTACATAAAACCCATGTATTATGCCCAGACTTTAGCCGCCTAGCTCGGACATCGGAATTGCGGCAGTTGAATCCAGAATGCTTAAAGCCGAGCAAAAGCCTGGTAACCCCTTTCGGGTTTCGTATCGAGGATGCTGCATGGATGCTTTTGATCCCTGGCTGCGAGCTGGCTAGCAGTTCCCAGGGAACGTGAGGCGACAGATGCACGTCCATGCGGTTCACGCGGAATCACACGGAAAAAGGAACAGTCTCTGAGCTTAGTAGGATGAACGAGCGGAGTGGGGTAAACCAGGAGCGGTGGGGTGAACGAGCGACGACATCTGCACTCGGACCACCGCTTAGTAGGATGGCAGGGGTTGGCAAGTGGATAGGACAGCTTTCCAGGAAGATTCGAAACCAGCGAGAAACGAGCGATGTAAGGACTGAAGTTAAAAGTTTAAGTCAAAAGCGCTAGACTAGCCAGACAGAATGCAGCATGCCAGTAAGAGAGCTGATCTGCCAGGCTCAGCAGCTTTTACGCTGGCCAGGAACTCTAATCTTGACTGGTCCAGTCTGGTCTGGCTGCGCTTTTGGTGATGAGCCAGTTTCGGTTCGGCAAGATCGAGGGGAAGGATTTCAGCCAGCCAGACAGATGAGCTTTTCCCAAGGCGTGATGAGGGGAGAGGGACAATAGGTGGGCTTTGTGACTGTACCGAATAAGAAACTGGACTTTGAGACGCGCGGACGAAATGGGGAGAAGTCGAGATTCAATACCTGCACTGTACTGTACATTGGTTAGTACATTTCATGTAAGGCAAGCTATCTTCTAGAACACATCCCAAAAGTAAACAATAAAACAAAAGAGGCAAAGCTTAAGCATACAGACAAAGCATGCACTACTGTGAGATCCTAACAGCTGCACCAGAACCACTGACAGGCAACATTCCTGCATAAAGCTCCAGCACTCTTAGCTTAGGGGCCACACCGGCTGTCAGAGGCCAAATCCATGGTTACTCTAGAGGGGAGTAGAACGAGTGGACGGCGAATATGAGGAACAGTGCCCCTCCCATCATGGCTACAGTGCGCTGCGAGATGCGCAGTGCAAGCAGTCTGCCGCCCACCACTGCGATGGTGGTGCACACCACATGCCCCAGCGTCGCCCCCACCGTCACCCCCAAGGCGTTCTTATGTGCTGCCAGCTGCATATGTGAGGGGAAATGTGTGGGGGGAGAGGAGGAGGGGGGGGGGGAGAAGGGGAGGAGCGACATGCATTTAGACGTGCAGGTCAAGCAGCACTGCATTGGTGGTTCAACACAAGGCCCAGTCTGGCTCCTAGTGTGAGTTGTTCTCAGATGCACGCCGCCCACCACTGCGATGGTGGTCGCCCCCACCGTCACTCCCAACCCAACGCGTTCCTGTGTGCTGCAAGCTGCAAGCGTGGGGAGGGGACAGGAGTCAGGGGGGACGGGGGGAGAGGGGCGTTATGTTCCCAGATGCGTAGAGTGTGCAGCCTGCGACCCACAATTGCAATGGTGGAGAACACCACATTTCCCACCGTCGCCCCCACCGTCACCCCCAATGAGTTGTTGTGTGCTGCCAGCAGTAGGATCGGAGGAAAAAGGCTGATGATAATGACCTCCCACAGCACTCTGATCACATCCCACCACATCAAATCCACACAAACCTACCTCCTACAAACGGCAGATCCTACCCCTCGCTAATGCCCTCCTGCCAACCCCTTCCTCTTTGCTCCGAGCTCACAGGGCTGCTAACCCCTCCCTGTCCTCCCCCACCCCGCCCGACAAAGCTCAGTGCTACAACCAATACCGTAACACGGGTGAAAAGCAGCCCCGGCAGAACGTACAGCAATGGTTGCAATCTGGCTGCGGTCGCCCCACTCAGCGAGAAACGTGAGGATGAACGCCTGACGGGGGGGGGGGGGGGGGGAGGAATATGAACACGAAATGAAGGCACGGCAACGTAGACAGATGATAGTGAACGCGCAACAATGGCCAATATGCTAAGCCCTTGGGCAGGGAGAGGAGACACAAGCTACTATATTCGGAGATGAACTCTGGCGCATCTGGAAGTGTAGAGGTGTAGACACATAGGGGGTACTGCAGTGTATAACGAGGATGGCACAACAGTACCAATACGCCTTGCACATGGCGTTAACTATAGGATGAGGACGCGGAGGCGTAAGCAACAGAGGTGAAGCATCACCCCACCCACCTCCAGGAACACAGGCGTGCAGAAGCCAGCAAAGAACTTGCGGATGCCTCTGTGCCTGCCCTTGTCGTTCTCCTCGCTCTCAAGCTTCTCCTCCACCTGCTCTCAAATCACACAGAACGAGAAAAAACACACAGATGAAGAGGAGGAGAAAAACACAATCTTTCTGCCCTTGTCCCTCCACCTGCTCCGATCACGCAGTGAGAGGGAGAAAAAAATGTGGGGCATCTCAAGCTAAACGCAAATGCTGCTATGGAGCGTTGACTTGTAGTCTGTGAAGCCCCGACAGATCTCTTGAACCTGTGACATCCCTCCACAGAAAGAAACATCTATTCAGACGACTGGACTGGAGCCTATGCCATCCATGGAGATACGCACCTCTTCCATCTCCTTGGCGGCGGACTCCTTGGGGTCGGCCCTCCATGCGATGTACAGCAGACGCAGGCCGAAGAAGGTGTAGAGCACTGTACACGGAGGGAGAGAGTCACACACACGATATAGAGAGAGAGTGCATCATGGTTATGGCACGGCCGATTCTATGGCATGGCCGATTCTATGGCATGGCCGATTCTATGGCGCGGCCGATTCTACAGGGCCTATGTGATGTGGGGATAGTGCTAAAACAATGGAGCCAACTGTGAGCACCACTGCATGGGGCCTACATGACAAGACATCAGTTTTATGGGTATGGTATTTCTCCTGCACCACCACCCTCACTCGTACGTCTGACTCTCTCCTGAGGCAACAATCGAGGTAGCACTCGCCAAAAGCTACGAAAACACCCACCAGTGGCAGCACTTTGACTCACGGTGGCAGCGCAGTTGGTGGCCTTTCCCGGGGTGAAATCTGGCACTATGCGGCCCTCACCTCGCCTGTCTGGAGTCCTCCTCATAGCGCCTGTCTGCTTGTAAGCGAGCTGGTGCAAAGGGTCTAGACATGGCTCAACCGTCGCAGCAACCTGACTCACCAGTGGCAGCGCTGTTGGTGGCCTTTCTGGATATAAGGTTCGGCACTATGAGACCCAGACCCGTGGATAGGACCTGTGCATGGGGGGTATGTGGGGTAAGAAGTATAGAAGGGTGGGAGGGAGAATGGGGAGGTTGGGCACTATGAGACCCGGACCCGTGAATAGGACCTGTGCAATGGGGGTTAAAAATTGCAATCCGGCAAATGGGGGGGAGAAGGAGGTTGTCATGTCACCATGATCACACCTACCATGTCACTACAATCACACTGCCTTGTCATTGCATGCAACCGCATAACCATGTCACCACACACACAATATAAGCTCACCGTCATGATCCCAAGGGCAGAGAGCGCTCCCGCCAGCACGATGCTGCGGGGGTGGCGCATGGCCATGAGCGCTGCGATGATAAACGTCTCGTCTCCGATCTGTGTCAGGGAAGGTGGGGGATAGAGGGAGCGCGGAAAAGGAAATGACACACGTGACATGAGACAGCTAGTAGTAGTGAAAAAATTCCGAAAATTAATCATTGCCGAAAAAAACCACTACCAAGAAGAATCATGCACACGCTGGTGACTCGCCGCGCTCCCAGGAACCATGACACACCTGCCTGCCACCCCGTTGACCTGTTACTCGGTGGGGGTGCAGTGCAGTGCAGTGCAGGAAGGAGCACCTTGCTGACGAGACGTCTGTCGCCTGATTGCCAGTCACAGCGTATTCTGCCAACTCCCTGACCCCTTCTCTGCTCCTGAGACGACTCAGGAATGTGACTCAACGCGCTGACGAGAATCATGGACAAGCTCGTGGCAAAGGCTTCCATGAGTTTGGCTGCCGACCACAGGCGACTGCAGATCATCCCCCATCCCCATCTCCCTGGACCCTTGGCGACTTTTGAGTCGACTCAAAAGTCATCATCCCCCATCCCCATCTCCCTGGACCCTTGGCGACTTTTGAGTCGACTCAAAAGTCATCATCCCCCATCCCCATCTCCCTGGACCCTTGGCGACGTTGAAGGTCTTGCCTGCTTCTGAGGCGTCACCGCGACGCGACGCAGCTCGCGGACGAGAATCATGGAGAGGCTGGTTTTGAGGCGCCTCAAAAGGTTTGAGGCGCCTAAAAAGAGAATCATGGAGAGGCTGGTTTTGAGGAGCCTCAAAACCTTATGAGGCGCCTAAAAAGAGAATCATAGAGAGGCTCGTGACGACGGCATCCACGAGCTTGGCCGGCGACCACAGCGCATCCTTCCATCCCCCTGATCCCTTCTCGGTTCCTGAGGCGACTCAGGAATGTGACTCACCTCGCTGACGAGAATCATGGATAAGCTGGTAACAAAAGCATCCATCAGCTTGGCCGGCGACCACAGGGCATCCTTCCACCCTCCTGATCCCTTCTCCTCCCCTCCACCCCACCCGTTCATTGCCGCCTTATCGCCTGCGCCAGCTGCCTGGGTGGCTTCTCCTGCTGCTCCACCGAGAGTCTCCGCCAGAAGCTGCAAATCGCCAATGCGGTTACCATGTCAGTGTTACACTCAGTACACTTGAGCAGGTAGATCCGTTGCGTGGCAAGAAAAGCACCTGAAGCCTTATCCGTCTGTCGAGGAGCACTCTGCACTAATCAGTCTTGACGATACGCGAGAAACACAACTCTTAGAACACTCTTAGAACTAAACTGAGTAAGAAACAAATAATAATCAGTTCAGTTTCTGCTAGACCGGAGGAGTTAGTTACCTTGCCCTCCCGTAAGGTCTTGGTGTCTCCCTCTTGCAGCAATTCTCTCATCTGCAGGAACAGGTGAAACGCGCAGCCAAACAAGAACAACAACCATGGCCGTTTTGAGACAAGAGAGATCGCAAGGTGTCTCCGGCTTCTGACGTAAGAATCTCGCCGCGACGCAGCTAATCCCGTTCTTGGATCACCTAACGTTGATTCCATTCCGCATCAAGATGCAAGACCCCTAATGTCAAAGGATCAGCATTGTCAATTAGACATTGTGGTTGACTCGCATCCCTCATAACGGAGTCAGGCAGCAACGAGGATGACGATTCGATTTCAAAAGATCATATAACAAAAAGCACGAGTTAAAGACGGCTGGAGCTTACGCCAAACGAGCTGGTGGCGACTTGAAGTGACGACTCGCCATCAGCTAAGCAGCACAGCCCCGATCCTAGAACGGCTAGACAAACCGCTAGTAGCCGAAGAATCTGCATCCTGGCTGGAATGGGACGCAGATCAGAGGGCAAGGCACCTAGTATAAGAGGAATGAACGACTAGACTACAGGCTACGATGCGCTTGCGTTTAGGTTGAAGTTAGCTTGCCAGTGGAGTTGTCAGTCACTCCTGTCAGGTTGTGGAGCGGGGCGTTGGGGTTCTGAACGGTTTCGTCAGATAATGTTAGGTTCTGCCGTTTTGTGTGAATCTGCCAGAGGCAGATCTGTGACGGTCATCGCTTTGCAGTGGTTGGTGGGGAGGAGAACTCGCTTCGTTACTAGCAACGCCGCAACAGAGACAGCTCGTTCGCCTGGAAGGTTTTTCTTCCATTCACCAGAAAAGGACGGGCTTCCTAAGATGCAGCAATCCACAATCTGAAAAGCAATTCAAGCAGTGACATAAAACCCACACTCCAGTTCCAAAATTGTTTCAAACGGTTATCATAGCATTCACCCAGTGGCATGAGAACCACACTTCAGCTGCTTGTATTCATGGTGAATGGCGACAACTTAACTGCTTTCCAAGGAACACGCTCACCTCCACTACCACCATAAAATCCTCCCTACACTCCCTACCACATCTCATCGCCACCAAACCTTCAGTCTGTCGCATTAGAGACCCACATGGCTTCTCCGTTCACCATATCCATCATGAACGGCAGCAATCTAGCAGCATTGCAATGCACCACCACCACTGCACCAACCACCACCCCTCCCTGTGCTCTTGTATCCAACCCAAACCACTGCAATGGAATCACTCTACAGCATCAGAGAACCACACCCCGGCGCCCTTCATCGCATCTATCTTGAACGGCAGCAGTCTAGCAGCGTTGCAATGCACCACCACCACCTCCTCCCGGTGCTCCTGCAGCCACACTCTCTCCCCTGACCCCCCCCTGCTGCGCCCATTGACGACAGCGACAGTGGCGGCTGATCGTTTCTAAGCAACTCGGATCCTAGAGCTGGCAACTGGGAGGCTTCTAACGAGGATGAGGATGAAAACGGGGAAACGGAGGATGAAGGGGAGGAGGAACCGAGAGGGCTGAAAGCAAGCCACCCAGGGGGGAAGGACTCCTGAGGAAGGACGCCCAGGCTCAGGGGCTGCCCATCCTTAGCCATTTGAAACAGGGCCTTTTGCAGCAGGGGTACATCACTGCTAGGCACGGCATAGGCGTAGTCCACTGTCGCCATTCTCCGAGCCCAATCCTCCACCACAGCTTCAGTGGCCTTGGTTCGGCGGAACAGGGCCAGGCACGGGGAGGCTCGGGCGATTTGGGACCAGGGGAGAGGGATGGCGAGGGAGGAATTGGAAGGGGAGGAGGGAGAGGAGGAGGGGGAGCGGATGGGGAGGGGGGATGGTTCGCCAGGAGAGAAGAGGTGTGAGTCGTCTTGGAAGGTGATGTCAAGGGAGGGGGAGAAGGATGGGAGGGGGTCCTTTAGCCAGACCGTGTCGAGGTCGCTGCGATGAAAGAACGGGAAACAGAGAGGGAAAGAGAGAAAAAGGGAACCAACCGAGCCCAAGGGAAGAAGAGGTGTGAGTCGTCTTGGAAGGTGATGTCGAGGGAGGGAGAGAAGGACGGGAGGGGGTCTTTTAGCCACACGGTGTCGAGGTCGCTGCGATGAGAGATATGGGCCGCACACACGGGGTGGGCAGGGAGGGAGAGAGGAGTGTGGGGAGAGAGGGAGTGGAGATGGAAGAAAAGAAAGAGAGTGGTACTCGAGAAGATGTCAAAAAAGGAAACAAGGCAGGGTACTTGCTACGAAGCATCTTACATGCTCAGGGTGTCTCCTGCTTACAATACTACCTGGCTGACGAATTACCTGTAGAGTGCATTCACCCCAGCCTTAAGCAGAGCCCGCACGAAGAACGGCCGGCGAGCCGCCAACAGGAGGAACTCGGGGGAGCCGAGGTGGTGGAAGGAGGTGGGGCGAGGTGCTGGCTGCTGAGTGAGGTCCGACACTTCGAGCCACATGGCGTGGCCGGGGTAGGCGTCCTCCACTGCCACGTACATGGCCTGGAGGTGGCACAGCGTGGGAGCAAGGGGGAAGAAGTAAATGAGCGATGAGGTGGTGGAAGGAGGTGGGGCGCGGTGCTGGCTGCTGAGTGAGGTCCGACACTTTGAGCCACATGGCGTGGCCAGGGTAGGCATCCTCCACTGCCACGTACATGGCCTAGGGGAGAGGGGGGGTGGGGGGGTGGCGGGGGAGAGGAGAATGAGAGGGAGGTGGGAGAAGCGAGTGAGAGGCCGGGAGGTGGAAGGGCGGTGCAGGGTGGTGGGCGAGGCCTGGCATCTCCAGCCACATGGCCTGACTGGGGTACGCGCCCTCCACTGGAAATGGCTGGCGAGGCGATTTTTGAGTCGACTCAAAAATCGACTCATTACACACGAGTACGCGCCCTCCACTGGAATTTGCGTCGACTCAAAATACTTTTGAGTCGACTCAAGAATCGACTCATTACACACGGGTACGCGCCCTCCACTGGAATGGCTGGCGAGGCCGATGCAGTCAGGGAGGAGAGAAGGCTGCATTTGCTCCCCCTAGCTTGGCACCAAATCACCTTTGCCCCAACCTGTCTTTCTGCTGCTGCACATGCTCACCTCCCTCTGTCATCCCACCTCATCTCCTCAAATCCCACCTCCCTCACATCCCACCTGGTCCAGAGCGAAGAGCAGGAAGTGGTTGGCGAGGCCAATGCGGCTGAGAGACGCCGCCCAGTTGCGGAAGAGAGGAAGGTAGACTGAGCACGTTAGAGGTGTGGGCGAAATGGGGAAGGAAAGTTGGGGGGAGAGGTGGGGGAGGGGGGGGGGGTGAATGGGTTTGTTAAGAGATGCCACCCACTAGCGGAAGAGAGGAAGGTGCACACGTAGGGGAATAGGGTAGGGGGAAATGGGTATGGGGAAAAAGTTTTGAGGCGCCTCAAAATGGGTAAGGGGAAAAAAAGGGGGAAGGGGGGAAAAAGGGGGGGAAGGGGGGAAAAAAAGGGGGAAGGGGGGGAAAAAATGGGGAAGGGGGGAAAAAAGGGGGAAAGGGGGGGAAAAAAGGGGGAAGGGGGGAAAAAAAGGGGGAAGGGGGGAAAAAAAGGGGGAAGGGGGGGAAAAAAGGGGGAAGGGGGGAAAAAAAGGGGGAAGGGGGGAAAAAAGGGGGAAGGGGGGGAAAAAAGGGGGAAGGGGGGAAAAAAAGGGGGAAGGAGGGAAAAAAAGGGGGGAGGGGGGAAAAAAAGGGGGAAGGGGGGAAAAAAGGGGGGAAAAGGGAAAGAAGGCAAAGGGGGGGAAGTGGAAAGGTGGAGGGGTTTGTTGAGTGGGCCGGCCGGTCGGTCGCCCAGTTGTGGAAGAGAGGAGAAGGTGATACGGTGGACGGCCATGGATGAAAAGGGCGATGGGGAGGGGAGAGAGAGTCACATGCGATGATGTGCGATGGAAGACTAGGGTTCCATGCGAAGTCCATTTTTGAGGCACCTAAAAAATGGGTTCCATGCGAAGTCTCTAGAAGGACACAGTAGATGATTATCTAGGCACACATGACTCAAGGTAATTGTCAAAAAATGCGCGGCACGCGTGCACTATCAGAAGCTGCAATGACGACAAGAGTCTAGAGACAGGTGGCCGGATCGAATAATCAAAAGTGCCTCAAAGACGCCAAGACTTGAAGGTGATTGCCTTGGCATATTTGAGGCGTCTTCTAAAGGCGGGCGGTACGCACCATAAGAAGCTGCTGCGAAGATGATTGTTCCGTCCTTGGCAAACTTCCTTGCAGCTTCCTCCACCCGCTTCACCTGTTACAGGAAAAGACATGTGATTCGAACGTAGCTGGTTACAATTCAATTCAACAACTGATCATGAGGTTCAGCATACTGTCATGCTTCATCATGCGGTTGAGAATACTGTCATGATTCATCATGCGGTTGAGCATACTGTCATGCTTCATCATGCGGTTGAGCATACTGTTCTGCTTCCTCTCTGTAACATCCTTGGCACAGGCTAGAATCTGTAGCCTAGTTAATACCTGCCCAACTACTACCCACCCCAGATACCACCCACCCCAGCTCTCACCTGTTCCACAGGCAGCATGGGAACGAATCTGCCTGCTGCCTCCCTGTACCCCTCTGCTACAGCCTGGGCCCTCGTCTGTAGCACGGGGGGGGGCAGGTCCCACTCGAGGTCTGCTGCTGCGTGGCCGAAGCCCGGCCCCAGGCCCAGGGAGTGGTCGTCCGACACACTCACGTCGCTGCTGCTGCCGAACTCACTGCCCCGCTGCTCCTGTGCTCCGTTGTAGGACGAATCGACTCCAATCTTGCTCCCATACTCTGCTGCTCCAGTGCCTCCCGCCCCGCTTTCCTGCCCCTCTACTTCTCCCTCAACCGCTCCTGCCTCTCCTGCTGCCCCCCATGTCTCTCCTGCTCCCTGCCCTGCCTCTTGGCCGTCCTCTCGCGCCCCCCCAGAATGCTCATCCCCATCCTCCTCCCCTTGCTGCCCTTCGCTCTCGTCCCCATCCCCTCCCTGTGGTCCCCCTTCACCTGTCTGGTCCCCACCCATCCCTGCTCTCACCTCCCCACCTTCCTCCCCTCCCATGCCACCCTCACGCTCACTGCCCCCTGCGCTTTCAGACGTCCCAAAGCCACCCTCACGTTCACCACCCTCCGCACTTCCCTCCTCCCGCCGTTGTCCCTCTTCCTCTTCCCCTGCCTCTCCGTAGCTTTTGCTATCTTTACCTGCTCCCCTCTCTTCCTCCCTCTCCACTCCCTCCTCCACCCCATCCCTCTCTCCATCCTCTGGATTTGCCTTCCTACCTGGGCTCTTTGTGTCCCCACCCTCCTCTACTCCCTTCCCACCCTCCACATCTCTCTGCCCTTCCTCCTTCTCTTCTTCTTCCTCCACACTTCCCTTCGCCTCCCCCTCCTCCTCCTCCTTCTCCTCCTCTCCCTTCTTCTCCCCACCAACCTCGTCCTTCCCTGCTCCTCCCGTCTTCCTCCCACCGCCCTCTTCTTCCTCCTCCTCTGCTTCTCCTTCCTCCTCCTCGTCTTCATCCACATCCTCACTTCCCTCCTCTCCTTTCCCGCCCTTCCTTGCACTCATCGCCCTTTCTTCCTCTCCTCTGCCCTCTCCTCTCCTCGCCTTCCCCCCTGCAGCAGCAGCAGCAACAGCAGCAGCAGCAGCCTCACTAACCTCCCTTTCTCCTGCCAACTGCTCTGCCCTTGAATCTCCCTCCTCTTCCCTCCCAACTGACTGCTTCCCTCGAGACTCCTCCCCCTCCCTAACTTCTCCCCTTCTCTCTGACGCTCTTCCTTCTCCCTTCCCCTTACTAATCTTCCCCCCCAAACCTGTTTTTTCCTCCTCCCCCTCCTCCCTTTCCTCCCCTTCCTCCTCTTCCTCCTCCTCTTCCTCCTCCTCTCCCTCC